GTTGACGAGATCAAGGCCAAGATCGATGCTGCAAACAAAGCTGTCTCAAAGATTGGGGAACACATGACTGGTCAATCTGGTGGTGGGTCTGCTTCAGGAGGTGCTCAAGGTGGTGGTGACCAGACCCCAGAGGCAGAATACGAGGAGGTGAAGAAATGAGATTGTTGAGGCAGTGATTTCTTGTTCCTTTTTTGAATCGCTGATAAGGTGGATCTTTTGTTTTTATGCTTCTGATTCTGGCAGTTTTGTATCTAAAAATGTTGGAGGCTGAGTGTATTAGGAATTCGAGTCGGAAGCCCGTTTAATATAGGGTTAACATGAAATTTTCTGAAAAATTGAAATAAATGTTTGATAATTGCATTTTCTGAAAAATAGTGCATCCTAATGTTTTTCTTCTCGTCGGCACTCCTTTTCAACCTAACAAATATTTTCTTGAGGAAAACAATGATTTAATCACTTGTAATTTGAGGCAAGCGCTAGGGGTTGTAATTTTTTTCAAAACCAGTAGAGCTGAATCAGTTTTTAATTATTTTTTTATATAATCTAATTTATTTGGATTAAGAAAATATCAAATCAATGTAATTTAGTTGATATACTATAACTAAATCAATCTAAAAATCAATCTAAAAATCAATCTAAAGGACTGGGATCTGAATCCTTTTGCCTTCAAATGTAAACCTGTTAAAAAAGAAAAAATTCAATCTAACTATTATTATTGAATTAAATTGATATTTTACAACTAAATTAATCTAATTATTATTGGATTAAATTAGTTTGGATTGAATTCATCAATTTTATGTAAAACAATCATTTTTAGAAATTTAATTATACTACCATTTTTTTCATAAATTTCAATCATACTGAAATAAAAGCACGGTTAATTGTATGAAATATATAACCATGCCTTTCCTTTAAAGGAAAACATTTTTCTAAAAAGTTCAAAAAATAAACACAACTACTAAAGAAAATAATATTTTTTCTTTTTTATTTTTATCAACAAAAGTAATATTTATTCTTTTGCTGTTGCTGCCCAACTTATGATTGGTTAGGTACTTGTGTAATAAATAATAATGTACTTATAATGTTGCTAAACTTCCTGATCAGCTTATATAGATTTTTCTTTTTTCTTTTTTCTTTTTTTGGTACAAAGGGAATTGGGGGTAAGAAGAAGGGGAAATGTGGGCAAGAGGGCTCAAAATCCGGTGGTGTTGATGAAAAATCTATACAGCGATAACACTAGTTACACATTAAAGTTCCATCAACTTATATAGACTTAAATTAATTATATATTTTAAAAGAAATCCCAAGTGTCTATAGGAATATAAGAATAATATGCACAGCAATTGGTGATATTTAAAAGATGAAATCAAGATGAGAGCATAGCAGGTGAATATAATAAATATACTATGTCTATAAATCTTAATAAACATAAGAAAGAAAACAATTGCACTTGGACTTTCGGGTCCAGTGACGTCAGGTCACATATAAGTCCATTCTTCCATCCCAAAGTAATGATTCGAATCCAGTCTTTTACAAATTTGTTCAAAAAAAAAAAATTAATAGCCTTAAAGTCTAAATATGGATTTCAAATGCAACAAGCTAGCAATTTAAGGCAATTAATACTGTTTCAACATATAAGAAATGGGAAAGAAATTTTTTTTTTTTGGTTAATTCTATTAAATTAGATTATTGGATTGGTTTGGTTTTCATAGAGCAAAACTGATAACCAAATCAATTTAATTGGTTTCTATTTTTTTTAATCCAAATTAATTCAATTAGATAATAATTTTAATTGGTTTTAAATTAGATTGCTTGGATTAATCGAATTGATTCGAATATAAACATCCCTAATTACAAGGACATAAATTTGAAGAATATCTCTTTCATAAGCAAGGATGGAGGTAATTTATTTCCTACAAAATTTCATGAGAAATTTCATCTATCTCATGAATCCTCTAAGGATTCATATATAATAAAAATATATATATAAATTTATATTTTTATTAATTGTAATATATACTTATAAAAAAAATCAATTAATTTGTTATCTAACCCAACCCAAATTGCTGGCAGCCCAACTCAATTCCTCTTCCCCAAACTCACAATAAAAATGTTTTTTAAGATTATGTTAACTTGAAATACCTTTTTCATAATGTTAATTCCTCAATTAAAAATTGTTGATCAAAAGCTTGAGTTGCTACTGCATTAGAGTGTTGCCTTGTTAAATGTAATAGGATGGATGTTTATGCGCGCATTTACTAGTTTTAAATTTCTCCTCTCTTTTTGGTATTGTCCATGCACTGTTGGACTATCATGCATCTGCTGGTTTCTAATTTCTCCTCTCTTTTTGGAGAACTTATTACTTATTTGTGTAGAATTTATTTATATTTATGGAGTGGATCTTTAAAGTATTTGTAAAATGTTTTATATACTTTTTACTTCTACATGTAATATTATAAAATTTATATACAAAATAAAAAAGAGGTTGAATTGTGTAATTTTAATATTTGATGGAGACTTCGCATACCTATAGGGACTTCCCACTTCTTATGGAGATGGGGATAGAGGATATTTTTTACTACTTTACTAAAAATCCTTGTGATCATCCCTTATCTACCCGTGATAGGGATGAGGATGGAGAGGGAGTCTCCAATCCGCAAAGACCTGTTACTATCCTTAGCAAATGCATATAAAAACTTAGGTCATTGGAAGCTTATTGCCATTCTTAGTAAGTGCACATAAAAACTTTAAGTCTTTACATGCATCCACTTCAAATCATAAACAAATTATGTATATATTTAAAAATTTTAAGTTTTCATGTTAACTACCCATAAACCAAATAGATAAAATGTAATTTCCTCTATTTTCTTTTCTTTATGTTTGGTAAAAAGATCAGCAATAAAAGGAATTTCACCTTTAGTTTATCTAGATGAAGAAAATAAAAAACTTCAAAACAATATCATCTATTATTATGTTGGAAATTGGGGGTTAGAAAATAGATTATTGGCTTCAAAGTGTATTATAAATGTCATTTTTCTTTAGATTAATTTCGTCCCACTAAATTTGGTATGTAAAAGGGAGTAAATCGAAATGCTTGTAGGATTCAATGAAATGCTTTGTTGATCTTGCCTTTGTACTAGCAAAATCAATCATTGAACTGTCCTTTAAAAAGTGATAAAATAATAGTTTTTGTTCAAATATTTTTGCAACAATCGTAGTACAAAAATGGTTGTTTTATTTAAATAATAGTTGGGATTTGTTTCTGTGTTTAAGAGACAAAAAAAAAGAAGAAGAGATAACTCCATATTTATAAGAGTAACATATCTGCTGAAAACAAATGCTGCTTTTCAGTTTATTAATTGAAAATATTTGAATTTTTGTTAAATTTATCCGTTAGAAACTCTTCCCAAAGTCATTTAAGTTGATTTGAATTCTAATTCACGTGTTTTCTTACCTTTCAAAATTATCTATTATTTCTTGAGAAATTTATTAGAATTCTATCTTTTATTTCTGATCAAATAGTTCGAATCACATTTACATGATTCAAACTAAAATCGTACTTTTCAAATTCTAATTTTACGTAAACAGTTTAAATTATAATTATATAATTTGAACCAAAATCATACTTTTTCAAATGCATTTTATATAATTGCTTTGAACCAACTTTTTGTGATTGTAACCTAAATCTTGAAACCATTTGGAAAATTCTTCAACGTATTATGGGTATTTGTATCTCAAAATGTTTCGTTCGAAAATTAACTGCTGATAATTTATATGCCATTATGTGTATTTGTAGAACTTAATAAACAGATAAACTATTGAGAAAATAAATTTTCAGTTCCTCTGAAAAAAAATAAAAATGTAAAGGAATATATATATATATAAATATAACTATTCTTATAAATTAACCCATAAAAAATTTTTAAATAATTTCACATTCTACATTTCTAGACCTTTTTTTTTCTCTCCCCTTGCAGGTACCCCTAATGACTTTTTGTTGTTAATTGTTCCTAGACTGAAAATTGCAATTCAGGCCCACATCCTATTAGACCTAACATAACATTGAACTCGTGTTGAAATCTTAGCCCATGTTCATCAGCCCATTTCCTAATCAAAGCGCCTGCATTTCCTGTCATCTTGTCTTGTCTTTAAACCCTAAAATAATTTGGTAATGTTTAAGGTTAAACTTTTCAGGAAAAACCCTAGACACGAATACTTCCGCTATTACAGTGATACAAGGTGGTTCTCTTCCTGGTGGTATAGATTTGATTTGAAACATTGATTCTTCTTTCTTGTTCTTTATTGATTGCTTGTAATTGTTGCTTCAAAATTGTTCGATTTCATATTTTGATTCTGTTTTTATGGGAATTGTTTTAGATTAATCCAGTGTTGATTGCTGCAGAAAATTTAAGCTAAAGGGTTTTGTTTTGGGGTTAAATGGGTACCAAGAAGAGAAGTAGCAACTCCATGGAGGAGGTGGCGGAGGGTCAAGAAGAAGTAGCTGCTGATAATGCGGTTTCGAAGCCATTGAAGAAGAAAACGAAGAAGGGTAGCAAGAAAGATGAAGAGATGATGGATGGAGATGGGGCTGCCGCTCCTTCATCTCTTCCTAGCTCTGTTAAACCTATGGAGAGACAAAAGAAGAGGAAAGCATTGGACAAAGAGAGGCGACGTTCGGCATTAGAAAATAAAGAGTCTGAGCATAAACAAATGCCTGTAGAATCGAAAGCTAGTAATGTTCAGACCTGGGTGGCGTCTACATCAACTAGCGTTTTGCCTGAGTTCCACATAAGTGTTTTTCAGGACTTGGCATCGGCTGATGCTTCTGTAAGAGAAGCAGCAGTTGAAAGATTGGTGGGAGAGCTGCAGGCGGTTCAGAAGGCCTATGACAGGCTTGATAATAAGTCCTTGGTAGAGGATGGAACAAAACTGGAAGCTGAAAAAGATGATGGCTTGAATAACTGTGCGCCATCATTGAGATATGCTGTGCGTAGGCTTATTCGCGGCATTTCTTCTTCAAGAGAGGTTGGTTGAGTAATCACATTTTCAATTGTTGAATGAATTTATCATTTTGCCTAAAACGCATAAATTCTTCTCTCTTCCCATCTGTTGCATTGCAAAGTTATTTTCATTTTGATGGTTTCCCCATGTTCTGTGCTGTTAAATATCATGAATTATTTATCTAGGCCATCGGCCATATTTTTAGGCTACTCTGGACAGCCTGAAGTTAACTTTATTTCAGCCTGTTGCACCACATAACACAAACATAAATGGGCTAACTTTGGACCAAATAATCATGTGCTTTTGCAGTGTGCAAGACAAGGTTTTGCATTGGGTTTGTCTATCTTAGTTAGAACCATTCCTAACATCAAAGTAGATTCCTTGCTGAAACTTATAGTTGATCTCTTAGAAGTCTCTTCATCAATGAAGGGTCAGGTATGCATGTCTGCCTCTAGATAAATTATTATAATCCTGTCGCAGTATACTTTGTAAATGGCTTCTTGATGGCATTGCAGGAAGTGAGGGATTGTCTCTTGGGTCGCTTATTTGCATATGGTGCTCTTGCTCGATCTGACAGACTTATTAAAGAGTGTGCTGCTGATAAAAACACTCCATATATTAAGGAATTTATCAGTGCCCTTATCTCCCTTGCAGTAAAAAAGCGTTATTTGCAGGAGCCAGCTGTCTCTATTATTTTGGAGTTGGTTGAGAAGGTAATTTTTGATTAAGTACCTTGGTCTTAACATATCCTTGGCCTTAGTTGCAAGCTGCCAGAATTTTGGAAAAAAAAGTTGTGACTATGATAAACACATATACTAATAAAAAACGGCTGATTTCAATTGACTTGTTGCAAGAACAATATTAATGCAATTTTTATTAGTACAGAACTAAGGCATTTTAATAAAGCAAAGTTTGTACTTCTTTGTGGTGTGTTGCATAGGAGATGTTCCGTCCTTTTTGCTGTTTTTAATGGGTTTATTTTTTGGGATAATACAGAATTACATATTTCCCTTTGTTTATTATATGGTTTTATTTTCATTTTTTCTGCTTTTTCAGTTGCCTGCTGATGCCTTCATGAGTCATATTCTTGAAGCTCCAGGAATCCATGAGTGGTTTGAAGGAGCCACTGATGCAGGGAACCCTGATGCTTTGCTTTTAGCTTTAAAAATTGGTGAAAAAGTTTCAGATGACATCATGGTGTTTGGAAAGCTTTTGCCAAGCCCATTTAATTCAAGCAAATTTTTTTCTACTGATCATCTCTCATCCATTGATAACTGCTTGAAGGTAACTTTTAAATGTGTCCATACATTTGCATGGATTATTATGGAGGAAGAAACTTTAAGAATTTCTAAAACTTATTTTCCTTGTCTTGAATGTGGCAGGAATCCACATTTTGTCAGCCTCGTGTTCACAGTGTATGGAATGTCCTGGTACACATGCTCCTACCTGATACCATTCTGCAATCTGAAGATGCAGCATCAATTTCTAACTCCTTGAAGAAGCATAAAAAGAGTCGCAAGTCTAGCTCTTCAGAAGAGGAAATTGAAAAAAATGTGCAGCGTTTTTGTGAGGTTGTTATTGAAGGATCCCTCCTCCAATCTTCTCATGACCGCAAGCACTTGGCCCTTGATATTCTGCTTCTTCTCTTTCCTAGGTTGCCATCGTCTTTTATTCCAATAGTTCTGTCCTATAAAGTTGTCCAATGCTTGATGGATATTCTTTCTACAAAGGACTCTTGGCTGTATAAAGTTGCACAGCATTTTCTTAAAGAATTATTAGAGTGGGTTAGGAATGATGATGTCAAAAGAGTAGCTGTTATTGTGGCTTTACAGAGGCATAGCAATGGAAAATTTGATAGCATTACAAAGATGAAAACAGTCAAAGATTTGATGACAGAGTTCAGAACAGAAACTGGTTGCATGCTGTTTATTCAGAACTTAACAAAAATGTTCATAGACGAAGGTCAAGTTTCTGAAGAACCTTCAGATCAAAGTCAGACAACAGATGATAATTCAGAGATAGGCTCAGTTGAGGACAAGTATTCTGGTGTTATGTTGGGAAGTTCAGATTTTTTAAAGAGTTGGGTTATAGAATCTCTTCCTAGCATTCTGAAACATTTAAAGGTGGACCCAGATGCCAATCTTCGGCTGCAGAAAGAAATGCTAAAGTTCCTAGCTGTTCAAGGTCTATTCTCTGCTTCTCTGGGGAATGAAGTCACATCATTTGAGTTACAGGAGAAGTTCAGGTGGCCAAAAGCAGCCACCTCTAGTGCCCTTTGCAAAATGTGCATTGAGCAGCTCCAGTCATTGCTGGCAAATGCTCAAAAGGTTGAGGAGCCGTGGTCTATAGTAAATGGCCTTGAGCCAAATGATCTTAGTTCCTATTTTATGCGGTTCCTTAGCACATTGCGCAACATTCCCTCAGTTTCTTTCTTCCAAAACTTGAGTGATGATGATGAAAATGCTATCAAAAAATTGCAGGAAATGGAAACTAGGCTTTCTAGAGAGGTAATGTATGCCTTCCATGGTTTGGATTAATGTTCTTGACTATGGTTTGAAGTTAACAGTAATTATTTTATGTTCTTGAACAATTCATGATTTCATGTTAAATGTACTTGTTAAGGCAACTATGACTGAAAGATTGGTGGATAGGTTATG